TGAATGTCCTCTCGTCTTCCAGCTTCCAGGTACCATCACCACTTACCGTTAAAAGGTTATCAGGTGACGAAGAATTTTCTTCGACAGCTGCCCTTTTCATGCTTTCTTCAGCGACTTCCTTCATAACACGTGAAAATTTATTATTAATAACATCATATGATTTTTGTTCAACAGGATTAGGAAGACTCATTACAGCACAAAAGGTTTTTAATGACTCTAAACCTTGGCCTATGCATCTCATTGCTAAAATAGATCTTCTGTTAATTTCTGGAGCATTATTTTTATTCCCAGTGTTTTCACAGCTTGAAAAAGTACAAACACTCCCACAGTTTTTACAACGTATTTCAAAATTCGAACATAAACCACGAGTGGACTTTTCATTAATTGTTAATGGTTTATGACATTTTAAACAACATGATACTGATAAAATAGAGCTAAAGGTTGAAATAAAATAAAAAATACGATATCCTTTGAAGTTTTCACTTACCTTAACCAGATTTGACTTTAATGAAGTCTGAATTCCTGAGATTTTATTACTGGAAACACACTTACTTGTATCTATCCTTTCTGCAACATATGTATGAGGACATACCTTCATGAATTGGTTCCCTCTAAATCTATCTCTCTTCTTTTCTTAGAACGTTTACCTGAAGGTCTACGATGTGTATTTTCCATTTCAATCGAGAGAATTTTGTTTTCAATTTTGATAAACGGTTTTAAACAACGCTGTTTTGAATTTCGATAAGTTATTTCAAACAACGTGTGCTAGCATTACCAAAACAGAATGAAAACACATTAAAAAAGCGTGTGTTGAGTTGCAAGCTTCCTTCTCATTCAACCAAGTGTTTAAAATATTTCATGAGGCTTTTTAAAAACAGAAAAATAAAACGTATGCGGAAATCGAAAATAAGTGGGTGTGGCATGTGGCCATTTAAACATTGTTATTACTAAATTGCTGTTTGGAATTTTTCGAATAACTTTCGAAGTTTTTGTAGTACTATCACGTGGTTGGTATCAAAATGTTCAAAAGAAAATGAGGAACAACATATATTTTTTTCGAAAATTCGAAAAAATCCAAGATTAACACCCCTGTGACCCCTTAACCATGAAATTGGAACAACGACGATAAAACACTAACGATTAGGAGGCTATCAAACTTGATCCTTACCTGAAAAAATGATCAAACCTTTCATCCAATTTAATCTAATATCAAATCAATCCTAGTGAACAATCGTCACTTTAAAGTTTCCCCCTAATAAGAATCAAATCACTATAATTCTAATATTATACCTTCAGTAGAAATCTCACCTGTGATTCGAGTAAATCTTCTCTTTCTCTTTCTCTAGCTAGAAAACCTCACTTATTTAAAGTAGGTTAATTTAGGCAGCACGATTCTCTTCTTCCAAAGGGTTGGTTGTGAATAACGCTAATTGATAGCCCAAAGATTTCCCAAGAAGATTAGTTGGAAAAACGCGTATGGATCCGTCACATAATCACGAACTTGATAGAGCGTATTCAATGTATATTTGATTCGAATCTTCAAACTGACGCAACTAGAGCCCCACTTACGTATCTAACGTGAAATTTAAATCAAAGTCACCTTTCAAATGTACAAACGCGTCCACCAAATTTCATTGATATAGCACAGCTCCATCTTGGTGATGGGATTTTTATTTCCATCAGTGTATTTTACTAATGAAGATAAATGAAAAAAAATGAAGTTATGTGACAAAAGCTATGTCTAGTTCAAAGCAAACTATTTCAAGCTAGTTGAATTTAGACCTTTATAGCCAGATAAGGATTAATGAAAGTGGCTCTGAATGAAATCCGTGATATGAATGAGGAAAAAAATATCACAATACTGGAGGCAACTTTTCTTTTGAAACAGATGAACAAATATGAAACTCAGTAATAACCATGATTTAGAATACCATACTCCAGAGGATATATGTAACTAACAAATCATAGCAATCAGTTGAGCTTGAGTTATTAAAATGAGTCTACTAAAATCTCTAGAAAATTATATGCAAAATTTTAGAAATGAATTTGGAAAAATGGAACAAGAAGCAACTACTCTATCATGACTCTCATTTGAAGAGGAAGCTGGGAAACCTCGAGGGAACAAAAGAGAAAAATTATATTTGGTGAAATTAAAGATGTTGGTCATGAATTTTTGAAAGAAGGGAAATTTCATAGTGAATTCTTTTTATCCCATATACGATAGGGCAAAAGCAAAACTATATCCCAAAGAGCTGAGATTTATAAAACTGTTATAGAACACTTTATTTTATTCTTTGACGAGAGATTATTACCTGAAATTAAGAAGAAAGCTACTCATAAACTAAAGGAAACTTTCAAAAATGATATTGAATCTTTTAATTTTGATGATAAGAATTAGATTATTTTGTCCTATTTTTACAAGAAAAAAAAACATACAATGAAAACTCCAATAGAAATTTATAGAGTTAGAAGATAAATGGATTCAAGTTTTCCTAACGTAAAAATACTTGGGAAAATATTTTTAACAATATCGATATCGAATGCATCAGGTGAGAGATCTTTTTCAGTTTTAGAGAGTGTTAAAAATTATTTAAGAAGTACCTTGGGAGAGAAGACAAAATTGAACAACATGGCCATATTATACACTGACAAGAAAAAAACCCAACACCAAGAAAAAACTATTGTAGCGTTATTGGGATAACTACGAGATACGAGAACGATACGAACTACGAGATTGGGATAACTACTTTCATAGGAAATTTCTCTCCAGTCCGTGACTCCAAGTGTAGGTTCATTGTGTCTAGGCCGTAGACAGTTTGGTTATAGGCTTTCCCTTGGCCTCCTTCTGACCAACACACGGCCATCACTGGTATCAAGGCAGAACCTGCTTTCATCAGAAAACACAACAGATCTTCATTCCGTCCTCCAACTAGCACTGGCTCGACACCACTGGCGTCACAAACGGCAATGACTTGGAATCCGTGGAATACGCGCTATAGGGCGCCTTGCTCAGAAGCATCCTTAAAGTAACCGATTTCTAACGGCTCGTTGTGTCACTGTAATACCAAATGCAGCTTGAATTTCTGTCACAGACGCGATACGATGAGCTACAGCCGTACGCCGAATGCGGCGGTTATCCCTTTCAGTAATTGCATGTGGGCACCAGAAACCAGGTCTTCTTGAGGCTTCATCCCTTAACCACTGCTCCCAACAATCATGCAGTGAATATATTCCGGCCAAATCTTTTTGCAATTTCGTGGAAAGAAAATCCACCTTCTCGTAGCCTTGTTACGTGACCTCGCTCAAACTCGTTAAGCTGCTCATAATGACTTCGTCTTTTTAATGGCATTCTTGGCTGACATCAACTCAATTCGTCAAATTTCACGGAAAAATTCCGCTCACGAACTTTATATGTGTTCACGAACTGGGATATGTGCTTGCATATTTTTTACCCAACTTGTCGAAGGCCTATTGAAATTATCTACAGTTGCATTTAATTTATTTTTATAATTTAATTGGATCTGATCCCATTGAGAAAGGTCATCCTCTTAAATTCATTGATCTTAATGTTTTTAAAATGCTTATATATATTGTGTGAAAAGTCTTTATATTTTGTATGAAGCTGCAACCTAAAATTTAGGTGCTATTCTTGCTTAAATTTAGATTTTAACATCGAATTTGTAGATATGTCGATATATAAGTTTTCTCTCCTTCATTATAGGTGTTTCTTCCACAAATGTAAAAAGGTACATTTTCCATTAGAAAACTATTGTGTGAAATACTACACTATAACGAGTGTAAAATTATTCCGTGGAACCGGGGATAACAGACACTAGAATATTCACAATCTAGTAGGGGGTACATATAAAGAAAAAACGCGTTTTAATATTTTATTATATTACAATAAAAGTTTAAAACGTATTACAAAATAAAGTTATTTTGTCTCAATAAAACTTTCAATTTTAATGAGAGGAATGAGCTTTAGAAACTCAGGGTTATACAAACTTCAGAGAGAACGTGAATCCATTTTGCATTCAAACTTATAATTTTCTCTTAGATTTTTTATTGTGACTCGTGGTACTCTTGGGTATGCCTCGTGGATCCCCAGGGCTCTGTGGTACATAGTTTGAAGATTAATGATGTAAGTTATTGATATCTGAGCTTTAGTATCGAGCTTTTGATTATATTCAAAAACATTCTTATAGTCCTTAAAACGAAACCCATTTTTAGCGGCTTATTACTCAACAAAAGAAGCATGCTTGGCGAATTTCAAGTCTGTAGATCTAGAAACATTTTCCCCTATAGCGCCCCCCTAACCCCCATTGGGAGTCGATTTCCCATTCTTAGCGAATCTACTCAACAAGAGATATATTCGCCAGTCCGTAGGTCTGATAGTTTGAAAACGGGATATTTTTATATCTGTAACAACCCGCAATCCAATTTAGGCTATTCCTCGCTTTTATTAGAGGTCTACTCAACAAAAGAAACATGTTTGCCAAATTTCAAGTCTGTATGGATCAAAAACGGAACATTTTATCTTGTACGGCCCCATATTCATCTTTGGGGAGGGATTTCTGCAAAACCCATTCTTAGCATATATCGACTCAACAAAAGAAAAAATCCTGCTAAATTTCTAGTATGTGAGTCTAATAGTTCCGCAGATCTCGCGATGATGGGTGAATAAGTGAAGGAGTCGCTCTTTTTCAATTCTTACTATTAGTTCATACTCTCCCTATATATATATATATATATATATATATATATATATATATATATATATATATATATATCATAAAATTTTCAATCGCATTAATAAAATACTTTTTATTCAACCATTTAAGTTCAAATACATTTTTTTAAACTTGTAGTGGATGACACTTGATGTTGATACAATTTTTTGAAATATTAATTCATTAAATAAATTTAACTAATGAATATAAATGGTAACAAACAAAAATAATAGTCCAACAGCATATATAGAAAGGAAAATCGTTCGTTGTGTCCCTGTAGAGTAATGGATAGCGTGTTGGACTTATTATCCAGAAGTCGTAGGTTCGAATCTTACCTGGGATGGCCTAATTTCTGAAAATGAGATTTATGAATGAATAAATAGTGTAACAAACAAAAATAATAGTCCAACACCATATATAGAGGGGAAATGAAAAATCGCTTTCTAATTTGCCTCTGAATAATGCGATTCTGTCATATGTATATACATATATTTATATTAATTCTAATTATTTCATAAAAAGTAACTAAAAATTTTTTTCTTTGTTGACCTAAGTTGGAATTTACTTAAAATTTTTTTTGATATTACTTGTTTCCTATATACATACATAAATTGAGATATTCTTCTTGAGACTATAGTTTGCTAGAAAAATATTTTTTAAAATTGATGAGTATAAATATTTTTTAATGAGAGTGGGGAAAAAAAGTATATTTTATATAACATTAGGTTTTTTAGTACATCCAAAAAGGAGAGTTTGCCTGCCATGCGATAAAAAAAAGGAAATAATTATACATCATTTTGAATTATTTTATTTATTTTCTCTTATTAATTTTTAAATACTTACTTGCCTAACACTAAACTTTGCTGTACTATTTTGTGGATTTTTTGAGACTGTGCATGTTTAGATAAGTTTTCATGGGTCATAAGTCACAAATGGGGATATAAAATTGCTTGTTTAATATTTTTAAGACTCTGTAGTTTTTTTTAATTTAGTGCAATATAATAAAGAAACTCAGACAACGAATGAAAAAAATTACATTTAATAAAAAAAATTACTTATAAAATTGTACAGTATTGAATAGGCTGTATAGTAATTGTAAATGTATACATTTCTTGTCTACAGTTGAAAGCTCCTTTTTGTGCCTGGTATTCTAAGCCATCAAAAGATCACACGTCATCCAACTCAGGCTACTTATTCATTATTTATACTATTACACTACATACATACTACAAATACTATACTAAACTACATATTCATTATTTGTTGTATTATTAATTACTATTTGACATTTCGATCTATCAACTAAGCACACAAGCGTGCCATCCCTTATGCTGTTAACAGATAAAACAGGATGTGGACTCTCCGTTTCATAATCGTACAAAACAATATTCTCCATACTAATGTTGTACTTTTCAGATATAAGGCTCAAAAATTCCACTTTTTTGCATATTATTATTTCTATGTCCTCCTGGTAAGACACAGCAACATACAGCATAGATTCAGTCATTATCTATCTAAAAAAAAGAAACTATATTAACGTATACAAATAATAATTCAGGGAAAAATACTTTAAAATATTTTATAACTTGAACCTATATAAACACATTTATTCTTATTACAGTAACATCCGGCGTAGAGCGCGCACCGGTGTATAACGCGCGTTTATACACTGCTGTTTGTAGAAAATAAACACCGTGAAGGAATCGTCAGAATTAAATGAACTTTGCAGCAAATATCAATTATAGGATGTTATGTAAAATAATAATAACGTTTCAGAGCCACCGCACATGCGTGGCGTGCTCAGTGCCCTCTGAACTGATGCTGAAAGCGTATAAATAGAGGGCTGTTGCGGGACGTTGAAAATAGTTAATGATTATTTGTTAGTGGCGAACCTTTAGTGAGACCTAAGTATGCCTCCATGACGAAGTAAGGAGAAATTCCAACAACTTATGGAGTTTGAACGGGGGAGGATTATCGGCCTTCGAGAAGGAGGATTTTTCAATCGCGCAATAAGAGTTCGTGTGCAGCGGAACAGTTCCACAGTGATGCAAGTTTGGAAGCAGTGGACCGATGAGCAACGAACAACTCGAAAAATAGGCAGTGGACGACGGAAGGTGACGTCAGCGCGAGACGATCGACACCCGCTCCGCATGGTGGCGAATGACCGTACAGCTTCCTCCAGGCAGTTGGCAGCGCATTGGTTTACTGCTACAGGTGTACTAATGTCGCCGTCGTCAATCCGTCGACGTCTGCTGCACCGAGGTACAGTTATACAGGATCCCCCTCACGACAAACCATTGATGGCTGTGACAGCAATGGGTTCATAAGCACAGAGCCTGGCAAGCTGATTGGCCCCAAGTTGTCTTTTCAGATGAATTACACTTCAATTTGGGGGGCCATGACGGCTGCATTCGTGTTAGACGCTATGCCGGTGAACGCTGCCTTCCAGAGTGCGTTATCGAACGACATAGTGGCCTAACACCATAAAGAAAGGGTCAAAGTTGTTAGATTCACCGCCCGCAATGTTCAAGAAAGACGGGGGCTCGAATCCTGTTTCCACTAAAGATTTGTCGAAAGGAGTAAAAACGACTGAATGAGGCATCAAATCATGAGCTTTAGGCGTCTGTTTACAGTGCTTAAAATTACGAGATTTATCATCAATATCCTTCATACTGTTCTAGTGCGATAATAATAAAAACAATGCAAAATATTTATTAATGTTTATCAAATGTTGTATAAAACAGGAACATTTACTCCAAACTGTTCGTTTGCTTTCGTTTCTTTAAGTTTTGCTTTAGTTTCTGTTTGCTTTTTAAACCAGCGCTTCTCAGTGGGGCGCGCCCCCTAAAAGCCTAACCCTAGAAGGGGGCCGCGAGCAAATTGAAAAGTCGAAAACAAAACATTTTAAAAAATTGTTAATTTAATGAAAGTAAACAAACAAAATACATTCTGACGTAATAAAAAATAAAAACATTTACACTAATATAATACACTTATAAGTGTATCAGTTCTGCACAATATATTTTGTAATCAAGTCAGCAATACTCAGTTAAGAACACGTTTTATTATCACCAGTGACCCTACGGGCTTGTCATATAGATACGTAAAATTTTATGCAAACATTAAAACTTATCTAGATAATCTGTACGGTTTATAATTAATTCCTTAACTGTCGATTAAAAATTACGCGATTCACTCCCCGATGCCACTGATTTGCATGAATGCAAGAGTATGTGGTGTATTGAAGAGGCGGGGGACGAGAAAGAGAGAGAATAAATAAAATTAATCTGTCGATTAAAAATTACGTGATTCACTCCCCAATGCCACTGATTTGCATGTATGCAAGAGTATGTGGTTGATTGAAGAGGCGGGGGAGAAAGAGAGAGAATCAATAAAATTAATCTGTCGATTAAAAATTACGCGATTCACTCCCCAATGCCACTGATTTGCATGTATGCAAGAGTATGTGGTTGATTGAAGAGGCGGGGGGGAGAAAGAGAGAGAATAAATAAAATTAATCTGTCGATTAAAAATTACGCGCGATTCACTCCCCAATGCCACTGATTTGCATGTATGCAAGAGTATGTGGTTGATTGAAGAGGCGGGGGGAGAAAGAGAGAAATCAATAAAATTAATCTGTCGATTAAAAATTACGCGATTCACTCCCCAATGCCACTGATTTGCATGTATGCAAGAGTATGTGGTTGATTGAAGAGGCGGGGGGGGGGAGAAAGAGAGAGAATAAATAAAATTAATCTGTCGATTAAAAATTACGCGATTCACTCCCCAATGCCACTGATTTGCATGTATGCAAGAGTATGTGGTTGATTGAAGAGGGCGGGGGGAGAAAGAGAGAAATCAATAAAATTAATCTGTCGATTAAAAATTACGCGATTCACTCCCCAATGCCACTGATTTGCATGTATGCAAGAGTATGTGGTTGATTGAAGAGGCGGGGGGAGAAAGAGAGAGAATAAATAAAATTAATCTGTCGATTAAAAATTACGCGATTCACTCCCCAATGCCACTGATTTGCATGTATGCAAGAGTATGTGGTTGATTGAAGAGGCGGGGGAGAAAGAGAGAGAATAAATAAAATTAATCTGTCGATTTAAAATTACGTGATTCACTCCCCAATGCCACTGATTTGCATGTATGCAAGAGTATGTGGTTGATTGAAGAGGCGGGGGGGGAGAAAGAGAGAATCAATAAAATTAATCTGTCGATTAAAAATTACGCGATTCACTCCCCAATGCCACTGATTTGCATGTATGCAAGAGTATGTGGTTGATTGAAGAGGCGGGGGGGACGAGAAAGAGAGAATAAATAAAATTAATCTGTCGATTAAAAATTACGTGATTCACTCCCCAATGCCACTGATTTGCATGTATGCAAGAGTATGTGGTTGATTGAAGAGGCGGGGGGGGACGAGAAAGAGAGAGAATCAATAAAATTAATCTGTCGATTAAAAATACGCGATTCACTCCCCCAATGCCACTGATTTGCATGTATGCAAGAGTATGTGGTTGATTGAAGAGGCGGGGGGAGAAAGAGAGAGAATAAATAAAATTAATCTGTCGATTAAAAATTACGCGATTCACTCCCCAATGCCACTGATTTGCATGTATGCAAGAGTATGTGGTGTATTGAAGAGGCGGGGGGGAGAAAGAGAGAGAATAAATAAAATTAATCTGTCGATTAAAAATTACGCGATTCACTCCCCAATGCCACTGATTTGCATGTATGCAAGAGTATGTGGTGTATTGAAAAGGCGAGGGGGAGAAAGAGAGAGAATAAATAAAATTAATCTGTCGATTAAAAATTACGCGATTCACTCCCCAATGCCACTGATTTGCATGTATGCAAGAGTATGTGGTGTATTGAAGAGGCGGGGGGACGAGAAGAGAGAATAAATAAAATTAATCTGTCGATTAAAAATTACGCGATTCACTCCCCAATGCCACTGATTTGCATGAATGCAAGAGTATGTGGTGTATTGAAAAGGCGAGGGGAGAAAGAGAGAGAATAAATAAAAAATTAATCTGTCGATTAAAAATTACGCGATTCACTCCCCAATGCCACTGATTTGCATGTATGCAAGAGTATGTGGTGTATTGAAGAGGCGGGGGGACGAGAAAGAGAGAGAATAAATAAAATTAATCTGTCGATTAAAAATTACGCGATTCACTCCCAATGCCACTGATTTGCATGAATGCAAGAGTATGTGGTGTATTGAAGAGGCGGGGGGACGAGAAAGAGAGAGAATAAATAAAATTAATCTGTCGATTAAAAATTACGCGATTCACTCCCCAATGCCACTGATTTGCATGAATGCAAGAGTAT